TCTTCAGTTCCCAGGCTTCACTGCCAATAATCATGCAGACAACCCTTGGATGTCCAGCTGTTTCTACAGAGTGTGTGTGTGCACGGAAGTGCTTCCCTGGCAGTTTCCACAGCCCTCACTGAAGCAGCTTGACACAGTCTCCCATTCTTAGTCATGTACAGATCTTGTCTCTTACACTCAGAATGCATGCAGTTCTATTTTTGTCCTGAGCTATCCCTTGACAAATTCTTGAGTTCCCTATAGATTGATTTTCATATTTAACTTCCTCTGCTTTAGCACAAATAACCTAACAAGTCCATGGACTAGACACAGCATCTCCAAAACAACTAGCTCACCATGTTCCTCCTCGATGACCTATCCAAAGGAGACCATTCAAATATAACACATATATGCTAAGTCACATCACCTTGGGAGCAAAATTAGAATGACAAAACAATCAAACACAATATGTCAGAGGCAGACACAGGAGGGAAGGTAGAGAGCTCAGAGTTCAGCTCATCACCTGTATAAAATAAGCTGGAACCCACAGAAGCCAATATGCAAATTTTAGGGTCTTAGCCCCTCTGAGGTTAGTAAACCCTGACCAGTTACTGTTTTCTCTTTCATACATAGTAAAATAGCTATAGCCTCATGTCCTTCTGAAAACAAGAAACATATCTGCATTTTCCAGACTGGGACCAGAGTTTTGTTTGGGTCAGGTTGATGTCATGCACACATGCAAATGCAGGAGCGGACTTGACTTACGTCCACATGCCTTTCTTCAGGGACAAGCAGAAACAGACATAACGAAGAACCTCATTCTCAAGAGACTTTCTTGGTTTCTGTCCTTCCTTGCCAAGGGAACAGGCACAGCTCTTGCGACTTTACTATCTAAAGACAAGTCTCGCTGAGGCAAGAATTGACGATCTAGGACTCTATCATGACTGATAAACTGGAAAGAAAAATATTGAACCAGAGACTTCAAGGCATATCTCAGACAAGAATGTTCCGGTGCCAGGTAGGGAAACCAACACCCCTCAAACCTTGCAGAGAACAAAACTATTTCTGACATATGGGTGATCTTCTATATTACTAATATCAAAAGAACCTCCCTTAAAAGGCTATTTAATGATGGAAAAATTACTTAATGATGGCAAAAAACATGCTTCTGAAATTGTTATATTTAAGGAATATAACTTGTAAATTGTGTTCACAATAACTTACAGATGTGTTTTATGCTTACTGGCTTCCTTCCCCTCTCCCTCGCTCTCTCCAACTCCCTTTCTCTCCACAAACAGGGTGAAAATTATTTCGAGAATTTATGTGGTTTTGCTGAGGGTGAAATGAGAAGTAACATTGAGTTTATTGAAATGCTTCACCTAGAATTCTATTTCCATCACTCTCATGCATTAAGTGCAGGAGCCACACTGGTTGTCTTATTGATACTTAGCCTTCCCTCAATAGATCAATCAAAACCCAACATGGATACTCTGTAGAATCATAGGTCCAGGCAGAACCTCATAAATGTTCCTGAGAAATAGTTTGCCTGCAAATAATGAATCCATATCAAAGACTTCTCAATGTTCCATTTTTACTAGCATAAAGATCCCAGCTCCATAGCCATCTGTATGGCAAAACACAGCTTCATAAAAACCATCTGTTGCTATAGTTATGTACTATTCAAACTAAATCTTGTTTCCTCAGAAATGTCTCTTGTGCTGCCAGCTCCTCTAGTCCACTCCCATATTACATTCCCCCATTCTCTCTCTTTGGAAAAAAATACCTCCTACTCTTAACATTTTTTGAACTCTGTTTAAAAATACAAAAAATAATAATAACTGAGGGGAAAAAAGCAATCTCAGAATTTCCCTCTTTTAGGTGGTGTCGTCTAATTGTTTCTGACAACTATAAAATAAATGCAGAAAATGAACTATTATTAAATGAGCAAACATAGCAATCAACTAATATGCAACGTAAAGCCATACAGTAGGCAGGAGGATAGAATGTGTCCTTAGCCCTCCTGAGTAGTCCCAGGAGAAACCACTGAGCACAGCTTGTATAGCCTTCTAGAAGAAGCCTGTACTACAGGGTCCATTATCAATCCGATCATACATAGTATTCAGTGTCCCACATTTTAATGAAAATATCCAGAAACCTCTTTTTTCCTCCATCAACTGATCTGTGTTCATTGTGTTCCACAAAACTTAGTTTATCCAAACCCCAATAAATGGATATTTGGTATTTCTTTTTTTTTCCCACTCTTTAAACAATAGTACAGACATCAGGGCCACTTAGCCACTCATTTCCCACGCCAGGACGGCCTAAGATGTTTTCCTTCCCCCTACTCCACTGTTCTCACTCACATGCTTCCATCAGGTGATCTTGTTCCTGGTGTCTACCCTGCATATGTACTTAGGTACATGAGCAGCAGATTTATTTAAATCCAAGATCTGCCCTTTAATGCCATAGACAGAAGATTATAACTTCTAGATCACAAAGTCTTGTGGGTAGCTAACTATAATGAACCATATATGATGTCTGGCATTTTATAAGTTCTCGACAAATGTCTACTTTTACGGTTGTTATACTTTCCATAACTACAAAGTAAATCTCTCTTTAAGATCCATGTTAGCTGAGTTCATTAGCTACTTTGCACACTTAATTTCTAATGATAATTTCTCTTTTCTCTCTATTTCCAACTCGAATCTTTTCTTTCTCCACCTTCTGGTGAAACACATTGTAGAATCTGTCATTCCAGATTAGCAAAACTCCCAGTAACACAAACAAATAGGCTTCTCTAATCTTGGCTAGAGTTTCAATTTCTCTAGGAAAGTTGATTGTTGTAGTTGTTGTAAATGATTATTCAGGACAAATCTTTTGTCTATTGTAGATTATTATCACTGATCTATATTGTTGACTTTTCAATTGCTTTTTTGTTTATTTTTCAAATGTCTGGTAAGTAGTTGTCAATTAAATATAATGGACCAGAGTTCTCATATACCTGGCTAATGAAAAGCAAACTTCTTACTATCTAGTAGGGAGAAAGCATCCAACAGCTGTTATGAGCAAACGATGTTCCAGGACTAACATCCAGTCTGTAAAGCCAACTCACTGGTAAAAAACAATTCTTGAGCTGAATCTTGAATGGTGGCTATTTTTTAGCAATCCTGCGAAGGACAGGGTGTTCACAAGCAGAGAAAATGTTTTGCAAATGCTGGAGTCCATGGTAGGACTGTAAGGAGTTTGGGATGGTAGGAAGAGGATGGGAATGGATAGTGACAAGATAAACAAGACTGAAGTAAATGAAGCTGGAACTCAAAGCACGTTCAATTAAAGTGTCTTTAATTGGTTGCTATGGAGACACTAACTTCAAAGGTAGAATGAATTTGGTTGATCTCAGTGATACCTGACCTCACCTGTCCTGTAACAACAGACCAATCCATGAGGAAAAGCTTGTTTTTATCCTTCAGTAATGGTTGTCATTGTCTCATATGCATTCAGAACTCAATTCCAAAGTGGATTTCCAAGATATGAGCCTTTATTTGATATCTATTTCATGTACCTTTCATGAAACAGCATTAAAGCAAGGAAGTTCAAACAGAAAAACAGGCTTACTTTACTGTTAACTAAGAGATGCTACTGAGTTCGAAATTAATATCAAAGTTTATAATTTGCAGAAGTCCTCGACCCAGGAAAAGTTATAAAGAAACGGTTTTTCAATTTGCTTGTCTTTCTTTTTAAATTATTTTATTTATGTATGAGTGAATGTCATTGGGGGTGGGGGGATACAGAGTCCAGAAGCTAGTATCAAGATCCTTGGAGCTGGAGTTGCAAGCAGTTACGAGCTGCTTTACAGGGGTGCCGGGAACTCAGGTCCTATGCAAGAGCAGCAAGAGCTGTTAACTGCTGAACCATCTCACCAGTCCCTGTTTTTCTTTATTTTTAAATAAACAAATAATAAGTAGTCCTATGTGATCAGCTGCTAAAGAAAGAGATATCATATATAGTATTATATATAATAAAAAATACAATATCCTCTAAGAATTCAAGTCGAGCCTATGAAAATAAGCATTTTTATGTCAAAGAAGCCCAAGAGCTTTCACGCTTGCCTGGAGAAGGGGTTAAGCTTCAGCAGCTGACCATTGCTCTGTTCCTCTTCAGTGAGGAGGGTTTTTGTACGGCCAGACAATGGAGTACTACCACTGTGTTGGTCGTTCGGTGGAGGCACCAAGCTGGAACTCAGACGTAAGTAGAATCCAAACTCCCTTTTCTCTGTTGTCTATGTCTTGTGGCTTCTGTGTCTAAAAGTAATGTTTAAAATCTGACTTGGAAACCAGGTTCTGGCATTCTCCAGGGCAAAGATAAACAATAACTCTGTAAGCAAAGCTAGGAATAGATTGTACATGTTCTCTGAAGAGCAAACGTCAGTGTAGTAATTAAGACAACTGATAGCTTCAGAAATGCTCAGGGGGACAGAGTAATTTGCTCTAGACAACGCCTTGCTCAGATCAGAAGGCGATACTCAGTTTTTGTATGGGGGGGAAGTGAAGAGAACTCAGTGTGTGTACACGTTTGGAGCAGGGACCAGGCTGGAATTGAAACGTAAGTATTCTTCTCAACTGATTCCTCGATGTAGCTAATCATGTTATTTTGTTCTTTGTTATCTGTCTTCATTAATGGGATTTCAGGGATGTAACAAACTCCATTCTCAGATTAGGTGTTGAGAAGGGTTAATGGTTAAGCTTTCTAAACCAAAGTAACTAAGTGCAGGGAAGAGGGATAATTGTCTATCAAGGGAGGTTTTTTGTATAGGGAGAAGTTAAAGTAAATCACTGTGAATCACGTTTGGTGCTGGGACCAAACTGGAGTTGAAACGTAAGTACAGTTTTGCTCAATTGTTTGTAAAGTGTTGGCCCCATTTTGTCTTTCGTGTGAGTTTGTGATATTTCTGGTTAAATGAACTAATTGTTCCTGGTGACCCAAAACTTAAATAGAAAAGCACCAGGAAACAGACAGTGTAGATGCTGAACAAACCTCACATCAGATGTGTGAGAAACAGTAGGATTTATGGGAGAAATGAAAAACAGTTCCTCTCTGAATTTGGCATATCTATCAGATCAGCTTCAGGCAGGTTTTTGTAGAGGGGGGCATTGTCATGAATCACTGTGATTCACGTTCGGCCGAGGGACCAAGTTGGAATTAAAACGTAAGTAGTTTTTTGCTCAATTATTTGTGACAACTTGGTTCTGTTCTATCATTTATATGAATTTTTGATATTTTGGCTAAGTGGGTCATTCCTAGTGACCCATACATCAATAGAAGAACTGCAGAAAGCAATCAGGGTAAAAGCTGAGGAAAAAAAAAAACTTGTTAGACTTGTGAGAACAGGTTGGTAAGGAGAACAGAGAAGAACGAGCTGGGCTTTTCCTCTGAATTTGGCCAATCTAGCTGGATTGGCTTCAGGCAGGTTTTTGTAAAGGGGGCATGTCAGAGTCCCTCACTGTGGCTCACGTTCGGCAGTGGGACCAAGCTGGAATTGAAACGTAAGTACATTTTTCCTCATCTTTGCACATGAAAGACACAGGTTTTCATGTCAGGATTTAAAGTCAGTTCCGAAAATTCATTGAGTGCAGAAAATCTGTTCATCTTGAGAAGGTGGAAAGGTTCATCAGCATACATTGCCAGAAGCTACTAAAACTAGGGGCAAAAATCTGAGAGGCTTTAGCTGAGGATAAAGCAGTTAATAGTGTGGTTGCCGTCCAAGTGACTGGACTGGAGATTCAACGTAAGTCATTGTTGTCTGTTGCCTTCTGAAAATCTGGGTCTAACTGCAGGGAGTGTTGGCTTCTAGAAGTTTAAGTGGGAGGTTGGAGATGAGGAATATGGGCACTTCAGCATAGACAAGAGCTAAAGTCAAGTTTGGCTCCAAAAATGTATGTAGAAGCAAAGCTTTTAAGATAAGCTGAATGATTCAAAAGATGAAAACCGTGCAGATGAAAAGAGGGTCTTGGAGCTCTCAGAATGAAAGTAAGTTCATTTGTATTGCGTTCCCACAAACACTGTGTTGAGTTTTTTATTAAATGTGGTATAGCAGAGTTGAGTGAGGTGAGCCTTAGGCTGCTTTCTGTCTTTTGCTCCACAAATTTTTTATAACTACAAAGATCAGTATCATGCCCTGAAATAAGAATCAGTAAAATGTTTGACTGTTTGCCGTGTAGAATAGGTGGCTTCTGAATAATCAGAAGAGGTGTGATTCTTAGAGTCAAAAATGTGTCTAAATGTTTTAGAGTCACAAAATGTCAAAATGAGATACTCTACAGAAACAAGTTTTTGACAGCTCATTTTTGTCTCATTTCTACATGAATATAAATTTGAAATGCTCTCTTTTATTATAAAAGTGGAAATACAGTTGGGTTTGAATTATGTGTTTAATGGCCCTGTGTTTTTCCCAGTTATTACTTGCTCGTATTTTTATGCCGCCAATAAGGGGCTAAAATGGTCTGCAACCTCTTGTTTTTGATTGAAAGACTTTGCAGCCATCACAAGCATTTGGAGCAGCAGTTCACCAGGCCGCTGAGGCTAAGTGAACGCCGCCACGGTAGCGCCTTCACTCTGAGCTGACTGCTTTCCTGAGACACAGTGACAGAACAATGCCACTAATAGAGAATAGAAAGATGACAGACAGTACACTAATGTTGGGAAAAGGCAGCTTGTTAGATTTAGAAAATAAAACGCATTTGTCATTATGTTCCTATTTTAATTTCCATTAAGGTATTATGAAAGACAGAAATTGTTTCATTTAGTATTATACTAAAAGCTTAATGAATATATTTCTTTAGAAATAAAATCCATAACCAGCAAAAGTCATGGTCAATCTGCTTTGACTGAGCTCTCATCAAATTCTATTAAATTATATGGAATATTAACTGGTTAAAATAAGATAAATTTGTAACATGGTTTTTAACTGGCTGTATTTTTCTTTGTACAAAATATACATAAAATTTAACATAAGCATATTTTCTAGTACTTTAATTCTATGATAGAAAAGTGTTTGGCTATTTTAATCCCATATTCTTTAGAATTGTTTAATAATTTGTTTTTGTGATTGTCCAGCCAACTGCAACTATTTAAGGACTCTTGAAACTATTTTAAAACTCTTGAAACTATTTTAGAGTCATTTATTTATCCACTTTTAATTACCTTAAAACAATGTCAACTCCTTTTAAAACTCTTAATTTATTTAAAAGGGAAGAAAAACTGCTCAAAAATTTTGTTGTTTTTCTTGGCAAAGGTTTTCATTTTTACTATCATTCTGTCACCCAAGAGTTGACATCCCCACAGAGGGGGTTTCCAAAAGTCATCTGGCAGCTGCTGGAGGTCAGAAGTGAAGCTAGCCCGTTCCTCCCAGGCAGGTGGCCAAGACCACAGCTGACCTCTTTTGGTGTGGCTAAAAATTACCCCATGTGGTTACAGACCATCTGACCAGGGTACTCACCTGCAGGCCTTGGTGAAGGCTGAGAGAGTTGCTGGACACCCAGCATACACCCAGGCATAAGGCCCCAGCACTAGTATGGGTTTAGCTTGGCCACACCAAAAGAGGCCATAGAGAGGCTGATATCAGAGTATTCTTGAAAAAGGCAGGAGAAAATGAACGCCAACCTTCTACTCCTACCTTACGTGTTTGTGTGTTCTCACTTTCAAACATTAGGGATGTCAGATAAACTAGTCTGTTCTATCAATCTGAAGCATGGAGCCACTGCAGCTGATGGAGAAGGTAGCTCCAGGGAAAAAAGGCATAGAAAGAATAATAGCTTCAAAGGGTCAGACATAACTTACTTTCCAAAGAAGTAGCCAGAAAGTAGGGAAGAACACAAAATCAGCAAGACTGTATGTGTACTTCCTGGCCTCATTGCTCCTATCTGAAGGATGTGTGCTTTTCTGTGTGTCTGTCTGTAACTGTCTGTCACTGTTCACACATAGTACACCCAAAGGAGAACTTCCTTCTTACTTCATACCATTATCTGTGCTTCCTTCCTCAGGGGCTGATGCTAAGCCAACTGTCTCCATCTTCCCACCATCCAAGGAGCAGTTAGAGACTGGAGGTGCCTCAATCGTGTGCTTCATAAACCAGTTCTATCCCAGAGACATCAATGTCAAGTGGAAGGTAGATGGCAATGAAAAAACAGATAACATCCTGAACAGTGTGACAGATCAGGACAGCAAGGACAGCACCTACAGCATGAGCAGCACCCTCTCATTGACCAAAGACGAATATGAAAGGCATAGCCTCTATACCTGTGAGGCTGCTCATAAGACATCAGCCTCACCCATCGTCAAGAGCTTCAACAGGAATGAGTGTTAGAGCCAAAGGTCCTGAGGCACCACCACCTGCTCCCCAGGCCCTTCCAATCTTCCTCCTAAAGTCTTGGGGCTTTCCACAGAGGTGACCTACCGCTGTTGCAGTCCTTCAAATCCCCTTCCCACCTCGTCCTCCCCCTCCTCCCTTGGCTTTTATCATGCTAATGTTTGGGGAAGATACTGAATAAAGTGAATCTTTGCACTTGAGGTCTCTGTTCTCTTTTCTCACTAAAAGGTTATTAACAGAAACCAATTACCTGGTTTCTTTTCTAAAAAGGTATATGTTTAATTGCCCTAAAATCCACCACACTTAAAAAAAAATAAATCCACCATTTGCCCTACTTGGCTTCTACAATATGGCAGTCCTCCCTAAGGTTCACAAGTACTAGTCACAGATTACTTCTCTGGGCCATGGTGGGTTGCAAAAAGCATACCTTCCTACGTTTCTCTCCTAAGTCCTCGCAGTTCTGAAAGGGGACAGTTCTTATAAGCACATATTCTGTGATCTGATTCAGCCTACCCAGAAAACTTGACAAAGCAACGGAGAGTCCATATCACAGGAGGTGGAGACAACCTAAAAGAACAAGCAATAGGGAAAGGTTTAAGCCCATCATAGCACCTGGGCTTCATGAGCTCTTATACCTTCATTGTGTTTTTAAATATGGGTTGACTCCTATCAGCCATTGGCAATGCTGGGCACTGTCCACAGTCTACTTCAAGACTTGCTATACTGAGTTAGACAAATTCACCAAAATGTTAGAAAGACTATATTAAACTGAGACGATTATCATCTATTTTTTGCCATCACACTCTTAGGCGCTTGTCTCTGTACATCAGAAAACTTAAGAAGCAACCAATGTTCAGAGATGCATTTAGGAAAGCTTCAAACTGGATACAACCAAAATGTCCACCAACAGTTAAATTTTGACATGTTCACAACTGAACTCAAAAAAGAGAATTAATAAAGTACAACTATACAATAGCATAGTATAATCATATTAACATGACATTAAGAAAAAAACCACAGAAGAGATGATATTTCCCATCCATTTAAGTTTAAAACTAGGTAAAAAATAAAATTTAATATTAAGAAAGACATTGCTGAAGGTGGGATAAGTTGCGAGGTAGCAAGAAAGGAACTCTGGAGTCTGGAGAATGTATTCTTTCTCAACGTAGGATGTGTAACTTTGTGAAAATTAACATTGTAGTATTGGGATCTATGTTCTTTCTGTATATGTTTTATACTTCATAATAACTTCACCTAAGGAAATATTTAATAACCAGTGCATACATAGGAGAGGGTAAAAGGAATAGATCATAGATCAAGGCCAGAAAGACAGTAAATGGGGTATACAGGATCAAATCTCCACATTCCTAACTCTGCACCCCTGAGCCCTCTATTATTCTGCCTTCCAGAGCTCAAAGTACAAAATATGAGTCAAATACATGATACCTCTCTGGGCTCTCCTCTCCCTTCCATCTAACTAGGAACATCCATGTATAAAAATGAGATAGAAAAGACCTTCATCAAAGGGTCAAAGAATATAAGTAACTTTGTCCAGGTAAGAAGGGCCCATGTACCAAAAGTTAGGTTTGGGAAGGAAGAGGATACATAACACTGACTTTCACCCACCCCTCTTCCTGGATGCCTCTGGGTTTAGTCCCTCATGGGCTCATACACTCATCCCACATTTACTAAGCATCTTCTCAGCCTACTGTCTGTAGGCAGCATAGAAATAATAAGTTGCTGTCCCTTCCCTCGGTTTATACACAGCCCAGTTTCCCTTTCTCAGTCAGCTCTAGGATGGTGGGAAAAGACAGTCACCAAATAGAACAGAGCAACTGATAATATTCACTATTATCCACTTTTTGAAACTTTTGAGTTTTTTTTCATTTACATCTTTTCAAATGGTGTAATTTCAACAATGTTAATGAACTTGAACTTCTTCGTCTATTTCTAGGAATCAAATATAGCAATCAACAGCATCTCTAATCTGGCTATGAATGGAAAGCAAACCTCTTCTGAGAGGCAAGAATCTGAAACCAGACTCATCAAGACCCAAAATAGAGAAAATAAATGTTGAATCATGTTCCTCAAAAATATATATGTTCAAATGTTGTTGTAAACAATGATGAAAATCCCAACCATTCTATTTTACCAATAAAGACTCAAGAGCCAGATGCTGGAGTGAAAACCTGCTAGCTCAGAGAGACAGAGAAAGTAACCAACTAACCTTCCTACTCAGCTCAGGTCCAGATGGAAAAAAAACAAAAGGCTCACTAGCTCAGCGACAGCCCAGGAGGAAAAGGCCAAAAACGCAAGGCAGAAGGCCTGCTAGTTCAAAGCCCAAAGCCAGGGAGCTGAGGAACTGAAGCCTAAGCCAAAGCCAGAGCTTGAGCTAAAAGCTTAACTTTTAAGTTCTTAACTAAAACAGTACCCACAATGAAAAGGAAGAATACATACAAGCTCTTGGGCAATTCTAAACAGCCTTGTGCTTAGTGAAAAAAAAATCTAATTTAATGTTACATGACATATTCTTTTTAACATTGTTGAAATTACACCATTAGAGAGAAGGAGGACAGAGCATTGATCCTAGGATCTACAGATGGTCGGGACAAGAAAACAGATGTGACTATCAAGGGGATGTGACAAGAAGAATCTTTATGGCCATGTAATCACTATCTTCATTGCAGTGGTGGCTACATATATCTATATATGTTATTAAAAATCATAAGACTATATACACACATTGCACCAATGTCAAATGCTTAGTTTGGGCGTTACACTATAATTATGCAATAAGTAACTATTTGGACAAAATGGGTGAAGTTTACATCAAACATGAGACCATACTTGTTAGGAACATAACTTAAAAACCATTTTTGTGTAACTAACTTGAAATAATTTGATGCCTGGTTTCATAATACCTAAGCCTAGGAAGCAAGCCCCTGTCAGTCCATCAGGCAGCTCAGACAGGAGCTAAGCCCAGATCAGGCCTTGATATGCTAATGAAACAAGTGGTATTTATGTGCTAGTGAAGCAGCTTCAAGCTGTGAGCCCTACTAGTGCAAAACTACTGCCCAATAAAATATACAAAAACTGGAACTTTGGGAATGGTCTCTAGGATAGCTCTGCTGTACTCCTGAATCAGGGCTTCTCTATCCTTTGTAGAAAGGGTAATTTTTGGAACAAAGCTTTTGTCAGTGGGTTGTTGTTCCCCTCCTCCCACTAGTCCTGAGTCTTCAACTTGTAATTAGAAGAACCCAGTTGTCTTAACTAGAAATACTATGTCAATAAGAAGGCAGAGGTCTGGGAAAAAAGATCAGTACTTGCCGGAATTAGCTTTGTACATTGTGAAGTAAGGATCAAGGTTCCTTCTTTTCCATATGGATATGCACATACTCCATCACATTTTGCTTAAAAAGATTTCACTCCTTCACTGGACTGGTTTAGAATATTTTTGTGAAAATCTACTTGTCATGTAAGTCGAGTTTATATCTAAGTTTTCTACTTCGTTTCATTGATCTAATTGACTTATGACAGGAGACAGTGTCTTGATTACTGAAGCCCTAGAAGATCTTTCTCAAATATGTTGATTCTAACGTAAGTGTTAGATAACCAAGCAGAGACATCACTTGGACAGTGGGATACTGCATCCCGAATTAGGACAAAGAGGCAAATGCTGGAGTCAGAGATGCCATCATGACCATCTAGAGAGCAAGGCTAGCTGGCAAAATAAAGAGGAAGCAGAAAAGAAGACAAAGAGGAATTGCCAGATCATAAAGGAACACTAGGAGAATGACAATATACTGGAATCCAATATAATCCAGATGAATTATTTCAGAGGACAAACATTTCAAATGTGTTGGTGGGTGAAGACAGGAGTAGAAATGGGCTGAAAGACTTAGCAGTGTGAGGATCATTGCTGAATCAAATGAGAGAAGAAAGTTTTATAAAAAGCAAGGCAAAATTCTGATCAGAAAGGAGAAAGTAAGAGGGAAAAGTTGGATACATAATGCATAAGAAACTATTTCTAGAAAAGAAGTAGAAAATGGAGGGAAAATAATGAATCAGTAACTAAAGAATAGAAAGAGAAAAGTTACCTACACAGGATATATGTGAAATTCTGGAAAATGGCAGTATTGTCAATGCTGATGAGAAGGATCCAGTAGAAATTAAAAAAAAAAAAAAAGTAACACAATGCAAAAGGAGAAACTTCTAGAGCATTGTCCCTGGATAGGTGAGACCATCAGTAAACACAGGTGGAAGTGTCACCACAAAGGAAAACAAGAAAGCTGCAGAGAGGTCCACAGTTGTGGTGGAAATCACTTATGACATCAGTAAAGCTCTATTGCTTAGATGTTGTAGCTTCAGACAGTTGAGAAGACCCTGTAAACTGGTGTAAGCCACTCAGGTTGTAGGCAGGACAAAGCTAACGGCGTATGAGAAAGGGCAGAAATATCGCTAGAGAATGTCTTTGCCACCTGCCACACGCCTTCTCTTGGCTCCTCTTGAGGTCTTCTTCCCTGAAAGATTCCTTACAGACACTCCAACATTCTTTCATTCCTCCGACACCTTCTCCTATTTCTCCCCACACCTAACACTTTCCTATTCCTTTCTCATTTCTATGGCTCACTTTTTCCTCCCCAGCTTCTGCTGCTTCTCTCTTTGCTCTTATCTTTTCTGTTCTTTCGTCCACCTGCAGTCCTGGCACAAGACTGAGTAGTCCTTATCATCTCCACTGTGTGACTGACTGGGTATCTCATGAAAGGCTCTGTCTCCCAAATCGGGATGGGCCTTTTAGTATTCCTGAAGCTATGAGACTCTGCATAGACTCAAAAAGGAAATGGCAGGGAGGAGGGAATAATGGAGTGGGAAGGGCTGACACTACCATTGTCCCCTGTATGGTACCTTAAACTTCTCAGACCCTCCACTAAGGTGTTATTAGCTGTGACTCATAAGTGAAGCCAGAGCTAAGGTTTTCATATCTGAGCATTACAGAACTAATAGAGCAGTAGTTTTCAACTTTTAGTTCCTGATCCCTTTGGGGGTCAAACAACCCTTTCACATGGGTTGCATATCAGATAGCCTACACATCTTATATTATGATCTATAACAGTAGCAAAATTACAGTTATGAAGTAGCAATGAAAATAATTTTATGGTTGGAGGTCACCAAAACATAAGGAACTGTATTAAAAAGTCAT